CAAGCCTCGATATGGCAGCTGGTTTTCACCAAATTCCTATCGCTGAGACCTCTATAGAGAAGACCGCCTTCGTCACACCAGATGGCCTATATGAATACCTCACCATGCCATTTGGTTTGAGTAATGCTTGTTCTGTTTACCAGAGATGCATCAACAGAGCTCTAACGTCGTTGCTGGGAACAGCTGCACAGGTTTATGTGGATGATGTGTTGAGTAAATGCGCAGATTTCTCAGAAGGAATATCACACCTAGAGCGGATTCTCATAGCACTACAAGATGTCGGATTTTCTATCAATGCCGAGAAGTGCAATTTCCTCAAACGATCCATCGAATACCTCGGAAATGTAGTTTCTGATGGACAAGTACGACCAAGCCCACGTAAAGTGAAAGCTCTTGTGAAAGCTCTTGTGAAAGCTCCAGTACCTAAGACGGTCAAGCAGGTGAGACAGTTCAATGGGCTGGCAGGATACTTCAGGAAATATATTCCTAACTTTTCACGCATAATGCTACCGTTGTACGAACTGACAAAACAAGGTGCTAAATGGACATGGACAGACAACCACGAGAAAGCACGTAACACAATCATCGAATGCTTAACGTCCGCACCGGTACTGACATTATTTCAGGAGGAAGCACCCATACAACTATATACGGATGCTAGCAGTCTTGGATATGGTGCAGTACTGGTGCAGGTGATTGACGGACGTCAACATGCGGTTGCTTTGAGCATGAGGAGTACTGAATTGTAAAGCCGCTACCACTCCTATGAGTTAGAAGCGTTAGCAGTGGTACGCGCTATAAAACACTTTCGCCAGTACTTGTATGGACGAAAATTCACTCTGATAACAGACTGCAATGCACTGAAAGCGTCCAAGCACAAGGACATTTTACCTAGGATTCATCGTTGGTGGGCATTCTTACAAGACTACGACTTTGAGGTAGAGTACCGCAAGGGTGAACGCCTCCAACATGCTGACTTTTTCAGCAGGAACCCGACTGAGTATGCAGTCAATATTATGACAAGAGACTTGAACTGGCTCAAAATTGAACAACGACGCGATGAAGAACTGCGACCTATAATGGACAGCCTTAGTGAAAATAACCCAGTAGAGGGCTATGTCTTGGAGGATAACGTCTTGAAAAGACAAGTAAACGACCCTGTTTTTGATCAGCAACTTGGCACAGTTGTCCCCAGTTCCTTCCAATGGAGTATTTCTTTTTTCACACTGCACTGAAACATCCCGGCTGGGAAAAGACTGTTACGAGCTTGAGGTTCGTGACAATAAAAATCGCCGATAAAATTACCTAAATTAACACTTTAATTTACTTTACACAAATTAAAACTTAAAACACTAATAATTAAACACACTAATTCACTTTATTCCGCTCCGAAGCTTCGCTTGTCTCGCCAAATCCAATACTGCCTCGATCGCATCTTGCAGCGCCTATATATACAAATTAGCAATGAAGCATCCGGAACACTGCCCCCTCCTAAGACATGCTCGTCCCGAGCATTATCGGTCCCATAATAACGCGCCAGGCGATCCACAAGCACAATCTTCATCACGACATCGTCACGATAATGGACCCAGTAAAACTGTTCTCGGACCTTCAGTAGAGTTCGTTTAACTCCCAGATGGACTCTTGAATGACCATTATGGCACAGCTGTAGAACATTCGGCACTTTAGCTTTAGGGACAACCATTTGCAAACGACAGCTGTCTCCTGGACGGACCTGCTCCTCCTGTCGGCGAGCCTGCTCCTGCAGCATCACCATCAGAGCACCTAAGTCAGGTGCTGCAGATGTAGGAGCTACCGACGGGCCTGCAGCCGGTGGCTGGCCTTCCGACGTCTGCGGCGTTGCACCACCGAATCTCCTCTGGTCCGTCTCCTGCTGGCGTTGACTTCGGGTACGGACACCCTCCGATTCCTCCTTTGGTAAAATCTGCATGATTTTATCCCACTTCTGACACCAATTGTTACGAGCTTGAGGTTCGTGACAATAAAAATCGCCGATAAAATTACCTAAATTAACACTTTAATTTACTTTACACAAATTAAAACTTAAAACACTAATAATTAAACACACTAATTCACTTTATTCCGCTCCGAAGCTTCGCTTGTCTCGCCAAATCCAATACTGCCTCGATCGCATCTTGCAGCGCCTATATATACAAATTAGCAATGAAGCATCCGGAATATTCAAGTAAATGCGCGCAAAGCGACGAGTGTTCGAGTGTAAATTTTCTAGAAACTTAGTTCTTCGGTTTGAGACTAGATGGCGCTGCCGATTGAAAGACTTGTGATGTCATTTTCTGCAAAGCTCCCCTCGCTCTCGTTCCTGACACTAGATGGCGCTTGTGTATGACGTTGACTTATTCACGCAACAAGACATTACAGAAAATCAGAGAAACTCATTGGTTTGACAAAATGAGTTCTACTATTCGAAGATTTGTAGACAATTGTGTTATATTCCGAACATCCAAAGGAAGATCTGGTGCTATCCAAGCCCAATTACATCCAATACAAAAACCAACGGTTGCTTTTCAAGTTATTCATATGGATGTAACTGGAAAGCTGGGCACTCCAGATGACCAGCAGTACGTCAATAGTCACCATTGATGCTTTTTCGAAGTACGTTCTGCTCTACTTCTCCAGCAACAAGACCCCAGACAGTACATTAGTTGCTCTGAAATGCACTGTGCATCTATTCGGTACACCGATTCAAGCAATAGTCGATGGAGGAAGAGAGTTCCTTGGCGAGTTCAAAGACTATTGCGACCATGCTGGAATAAATATTCACGTCATAGCACCAGGAGTTAGCCGAGCGAATGGTCAGGTAGAAAGGGTCGTTGCAACTCTCAAAAATGCATTGGTGATGATTAAAAACTACTAAGCAGAGCAGTGGCACACTACGCATGAGGAACTGCAAATAGCAATGAACTGTACAACTCATCTTGTCACTGGCGTTGCTCCATTGACGCTTATTACACAACGAAAGCACTGTGTACCTCCTGAGCTTCTCAGCTTGGTGAATATTGACAATGAATCCGTAGATATCGAAGCACTTACTCAACAGGTACAACAGAAAATGTCTCGTTCAAGCGAACAAGACAGACGAACATTCAATCTACATAAAGCCAAAATTCATCACTTCCAACGAGGAGACTACGTGTTGATTAAGAATAACCCGCGCAATCAAACATTTCTCGACCTTAAATTTAGTGAACCATATGAAGTTTACAGAATACGAGAAAATGATCGCTACTTGGTGAAAAAAGTGATCGGCAGTGGATGACCTCGCAAGGTTGCTCATGATCAGCTGCGCCGCGCTCCACAATCTGGTGAACAGTTGACCGTATTGGCGAGAAATGTATCACCTGGTCATCAGGACTCGGCTTCAATTTCAATTGAGCCTGTCCCTCCGACTCTACGAGACCCAACAAACCACGACCTACAGGGTGAAAGCAATTCATCAAAATAAAGCGTATGTAATTCAATTCAATATTAAACTTTAACTAACTCTACGAGACACTACACACGTACCTACGGGAACCTACGAGAATCTTCGAGAATCTACAAGAATCTTCGAGAATCAACGAGAATCTTCGAGAACCTCCGAGATACTTCGAGAACCCTACGAGAACCTACTAACCTCAATAATACTAATATTACCAACCATATAAGTCATTGTGCGTTTGTGTAATACGGATATCTGTAAGCAATACAAGTTGCTTACCGACTCAACCGACTCAAAAGAAGTCCAATCTATTGTTACAGGTAAAACAAGAACTACAATCAACGAGGCTGGTGCAGAGCGCGCACCGCCTGTCAGTATCGCCGTATCGGCGCAACAACAATAGTTCGTTGATTATAATAAGGATTAATCATTAATTACTCTGTTTAATAATTTGATTGTGTTAAAAAATTCAATACCTAACTTAAACCGGTGTACACGTGTCCGCCACGCTATAAATACGGCCGCACAACGCGTGCTAGGGCCTCCTACGCGGGCCCCGTCTTTGCCCACGCAAACCATAATATTTTAAATGAACTCCAAATAGTTCAGAACCTCTTCTGTCGTCGAGCTGCGAACGCACCTTGGTACGTCCGTAATGCCGACCTTCATCGGGACTTAGAGCTCCCAACAATTCAACAATTTTTTAAAAAACTCACTGAGAACTTCTTCAAAGCCTCAGAGTCGCACCAAAACCATTTAATTCGTGAGGCAGCTTCTTATGCAGCCCCACCCCCTCTCGCTATCGTGTCCGCAGGCCGAGAAACTCTCTCTCGGACCCGCCTAATAAACTGTCAAACGACCTGAACTGTCTCCTGGCGGCTCAGGCCAACTCTAATTAAATTAAATTATTGTAATAACTAACATTAATTTGCCTTCGTAGGCAATCCCGCAGCGGCACTTAGCCGCCTGCGCCCTCTTTTCCCAAAAGAGGGTCGCTCATGATAAGGCACAATACAGCTTGATCAGCCGGCTGCCTGTCCCCAAAGGCGGTTTTTAGAGGGTATCACTTAGGGTCCCCGGTAGGACAGTGAGCCCCTCATAACCACGATAGACCGGCTATCGTGGTATGCGTAATGCATTTTCCGCCTCCCTACGTATAGGGTAGCCCTTTAATTGCTTCGGGCGCAAAAAAAAAAAGCGTACTAGGCGTCTCGCTCGGGCGGTCGGACAGTGCACACCTCTCTAAATACGTCGTTACGCTGTCTGTCGAATAGACGAGGCTTTCAGTATACTTGTAGTGTTGGCATAAGAAAATTGAAGATCAGTGATCAGCGGAGCTGACGTCACACTTTTTAAAATCACAAAGGAGCTCGGTACTCCGTTATATATATTTTTGGATTATATTTTAGATGGTGTAAAATACCCTATTCTGCCATAATATGGTCGGCAAAGGAAAGCAACGCATTGGTTACAGATACAAAAGAATTAAAATCAATCACAAGATCTGTTTACTTATTTCATAAATTACATAGTATTTACATTATCTTATCATATTTTGTGTAATGTATTCTTCCATATCAACTCTCGAAATTCCGACTTGTGGTTGCCCTTCAAAGATTGCGCCTGCTGCATCTTCCCAAGGCCACAAAACACGACCGGAATACGCACTCAACATATCTAGTTGCGCCTCTTCTAACAAAAAATATTCACTCCTTGGTTTTCTATCCTTTCCAATTTTGAAGTAGTATTTAAATCCTGTTTTCTTCGATATTTGTGCAATCCAAGGTTCTGTAAAAATGTTTACATTTACACATATGGCAACATATACCGAGTCCCTTAATTTCAACTCGTGGGTGTCGTAAGAAACGATTACCAAAGGCAAGTATTACTATTACTGAAAAGATCTTAAATCCCAAGTGTGCTCCCTCCCAGTATTTCCAGTTTTCAGTCTAAAATAATTAGTAATAAATTAATTTAAGTAAACTTATTAAATAAAAAAATATTATTTCTGTTTTACAACAATAATTCCTAGTTTAACCTTTATTGTAAAGTAAAAACAGACTTCAGAGCACTAAAAAGAATGGAATAATTACCACGCAATAGCTTCTGAAGTCTGTGCTGATAAAGTAGTATTTCCCCGAGTTCAGAAGATACATATCGTGTAGAAAATCATTTTATTTCTGTAAAATCGACTTTCACTATTTAATAAGTTTTTTGATAATTAAGTGTATGTAACTAGAATGACATCTAACCAGTTACTTAATAACCGTTATGGCCTCTATTCCGATCTTAGAGGTGGAATTTTTATTCCAAATTTATAGGTGACCACCTCTGACGTGTTCCTATCTATTAAAAAAATTACTCGTTCACGTCGATCGTCGTCATTAATGATGATATTGAATAACATACACTCAAGTTGAGAACTTCATTCTTTTTTAAAGAGTTATAAAAGTTTTATAAATTACCTCTTATTTCTTTCAAAAACAGTACAGATCCCACAACATGATACATCTCTTTTCTATTACTTCTCATTGGGATATTTATAGTAACCGCTTTCTTCACCCTTTTCATAGCTCGGTACTCTAAGTTACTTACACCCTTTGAAAAATTCTCCATATTATAAAACCTTTTGCAACGTAAGGCAAGATCACAGGATTGTTTTTCTAAAGCAGTGCAAAACAAATAGCATTGGTTTAATCTGCAAATATTTACAATGAAAATAATATAACAATAAACTGACAGTTATAAATTATATTTAAGAACTATTAGCAACCTTTCTGTTAATGACATATTTGATATGTCAATACCACCCAACATCAAGGCATCAATGATATGAATTGCTTTATTGAACATTTGGTGGAGCCCTTGTCCATGGTACTCTTTTACAATCTAAAAAAAATAAATTAAATTCAGATGTGATATCTAGTGTTTCCGTGTTACAAGGATTACGTCAGAAAAAAGGTTGTATATTATTAGGATATCCTATTGATATTTAAAAAAATATATAATAAATACAAAAACTAACAAATGGAATCAGAAGAAAATGTACATATATATCCAGAGTAATGATACAATGTATCTAAACTAATAATAATCCTACAACAACAATAAAAACTACCTTAACTTAAAGTAAAAGACCAAACGTGACTTGTATGTTGTAAGAGCTGCAATTATTTAGTCAAATATATATATATATATATATATATGTAGTCAATATGCAATCTATTCAATCCATTTCAGACCTTAAGGACAATCGGCTGATAAGTGACCGCTAGTACGTTTTCTGTCGGGGGGCGCTCACCTGGTGAATTTCCAATTTACCTGATTCATAGATGGACGGAGGCAGTAGAGTCCAAGGGCCTTCCCCATAGCAGTTAGTTTGGACTTAGCGGAAGCATTCGATTCGATTTAGCACAAAGCGATTCTTTCGAAACTCCCTTCTTGTAAGCTTCTCGAGAAATTATGCACTTGAATCACCAACATGAAGCATTAAGGTCGTATTAGATGGTGCATGTTCCGATTACAAGCCTAACGCTATTTTTTCTGCATAAAAATGATATGTTGTAAATAACATTCATTGCTATGCGGACGACACCACTAGTGATGCTTTTTACACCGACCGTGTCAATAATTCTCGGGAACAGGTGGTAGAGTGCCGAAACAAATTGTATGTGAAGTCGTTCGACAGAGTCTTAGGTTGAGGACGCCTAAATCTAGTCCAGGTTAACCCTCATAGTTCACATATTTGCGCTTTTACGGTTAAAAGAAACCCATTTGTCGGATCCCCCAATTTTAGAGCACTTCCCCCGGTGGGATCCCAGGTGGGATAGTATTTAAGGACTGGCTTATAATGGTTAAAAAAAATGTACTATGCATGTGTCGCAGTAAGATGGTGGAAGCCGTGATATAGTTATATCCTTAGGGATATAGCTGTATAATGGAATATAACTATGATACGAGCACGATCTAGTAATGTAATCTTACTAGACTAATTTAGGGATATAATTTTAAGTAATATAAGTTGACCAAGAATGTCAGTCAAAACTAATTTGGATTCATACTTTTTGAATTATTCAAATTCAAAAGTTTAATTCCTTCAATATTATATTTTATATCATTGTAATGTATGCGGCTTTAAGGCCTCTGCCTCGAATCTTGCGGGCAGCGGGACGGCAGCGGCGGCGGCGCGGGTGCGGCAGGATCTTATGCGTAAAATCAAATGGACCGACTCTCGAAAACAGCGGCTTGGCAGCGGCGCGGGGCGGGCAACGAGCGGTTTACTCTAGTCAAGCGGTGACCGCCCGCACGTCTGCATTGCAGTGCTGTGCAATTAATTTTTGTGACGTTTCGAAATGTCCTCGGACGTGCAGGAGCAAATTATTTCAGCAATTTTTGAGAGAACACCGATATGGAACAGCAAAGATGTGAACCATAAAAATAGAAAAGTAGTTAACCAGTTATGGGAAGAAATTAAAAACGAACTGAATACAGACTCTAAATCGCCCTTGATAGCTTCAAGAATATAGTCAAAAGTTTCTACGTTCATTCTGGTGTAGTCGTAGAATTTGTCGGGACATTGTCTCTGTTCTTCGTAATTTCGATAAAACTCGGCTTTTCTTTTCCTTGCCCTATAAGTAGTAGGGATTCACTTCTTCTTTTGCCCACTGTAAATCGAGCGTTAGAAATAAATTTGAATCAAAAAAGATGTTGTCGCCGTTGTTCAGACATTTCGTTCGCAAATAAAAACAAACATCTCGACAACACAACCATGAACACATCACTACGCCGCTATAGTGTCGCGCGATCTGCCCGCTAGTTTCGTGAACGGGTCTGCGTTGCCCGCCCCGCTCCCGCGCCGCCGTCGCCGTCGCTCCGCTGCCCGCAAGATTCGAGGCAGAGGCCTTAAGGTGGCCCAAGGGCAACCCCAGCCACATCTTAAACCTATTGTCAAAAAGTTTACATGAACAACAATACATCAGGAACTGAAGATCCTAGGTCAATGTCTCAAAATTAGTTGGACTCTTTTATTAATTTTCAGCAGCTTTTAAGTTGCCTACAGATATCTATTTATATATTATTATATATTATCTCTTTGATCCTGAATATTTTTTTCATTGCGCAACAATTGCCATCAATAATCTTCACCACATGACGATACTCTACAAATAACATGAACATTTTCTACACGAGTGTGCTCCTGTACATACAATTATAATTATTTCACTAGATTAGTCTTGTAAGATAGTTAGGAACCGCTGACACATAACTATATTACGTATATAGCTATATTCCGAGGGATACTTTACTGCTTCAGCCAGCATCGGAATCCTTAGCGTCGACATATCGAATAACATACAGTTTCACGGTCACTCGCAAAGGAAGGTTAAATTGGCCTCTAAAAAGCTTGGCGTGCTCAACAGGGCGGGACAGTATTTCAAGACTGTACACCGCCTGCAACTTGACAACGCTTGCGCCTTGTAGCATTTCGTTAGTTTGTATGTTTGGCCTCGCATGAAATACTGTTCTAAACTTTGGCCGGGGCAAACCAGTGCCTTCCAAGACCGCATCCACCGATAAGCGGCCCGAAGCGTCGACGACCGGTTTATTTCTGATCGGCTCGATTCAGTGGCGCTGCAAAGAGTTGTTTCTCTCAGAGTATTAGTTCCAACTCCTAACTTCCACCATCGCACATCGCGACAACACCACATCATTCGGATGCTTTGCGGTCCTTCACTTAGCGATTTACTCGCCCAACTTCTTTGTGGAATTGCTATCACCTACGATTTTTCTGGACCGATACGACTTAGGGAGCTTCAGGAAACGAGCTTACTATTTTTTTAAAGGCCGGCAACACAGCTGCAATTCCCCTGATGTTGCAGGTCGACGCACATTATCAGGTAAGTGTCAATAAAAAAAAAGTAACAGCTCTTAAATTGTTAGTAAAAAAAATTTATCAGTCCAGTTTTGGACGAGAAAACGGAACAATAAGGGTATTGACTACATTGAATTATCATAGGTATAATCAGTCCGAGTTCCAGTACCGAGTACCGAGTCAGTGCCCTTTTGGTCGTTCTTCGGGCACAGCGCAATAACATTAGATCCTCAAAAAACTATTTTGAAAATTTTTTGCAGCCCTTATAAGCGACATGTTCGTCATCTCTGTAACACTTCTAAAATTATTACACTGCGTAAGTTTTAAAAACTGAAAAGTACCCTTATAACTTCGTCGTCCATCTGTCCTCATGTTTCACATCATCTTAGATCTAGAATATAAAACCGAATTTGATAAATATTTAAGCTTTTTTCGAGTTATGTTTATTTCAAAGTAAGAAAATATTAAAAATATAATTAAAATACTTTTCAAAATATCAAGTTTCAAAGATCTTCCCCCTTAAAATTAAATCAATTATTAAACTTAAAGTATGTAATGCTAATTTTAATATTATTGTTAACTTTTATGGTTGAGTTCTTACCTCTCCGTAAAAAAGGGTTTTTGCAGGAATTGTTATGTGTAGATCAAGAACATTTTTCCATCCATTTGATTCCAACTGACATACTCTCTTACCTCCACAGCCTTAAATTCAAATCAAAAATTAAGGAAATACCCATGGAAAAATTTCCAATAAGTTTCGCAACAAAGAATTATTATTACCTAAAAATATCTTTAGTTCGGGACTATTTTTCCCGCTGCTCAAAAAAGTGAAATGCCAGTCGTAGACATTTTTTAATATTTCTATATCGGAGATTTGCTTTAAATATATTGGTTGTTTGCCCAACACAACAGTCTTAAAGGAATGCGCATTATGTGAATCCGAAGCGCGTTTTTCCATACTGTTTAAAATTCTCATAAGCGTATCGTCTGGGTTAAGTCTCTCCGGTTGAGTTCTTACCTTATCAGGCAACTAAAAAGAAAATACAAAACAATTTATTTAACGCGAACTAATATTTAGTGTGTGAAGCCGTACTAGAAGAAATAAGCGCTCGCCTTAAAATTTCGTATCACGTGAGCAAACCGAGAACTATCTCGGCAGGCAAGGATTTCTCGATTTTTCTCGAAATAAGGCTAATCATTATTTCGAGAATATGTGAAATACGTAAAAGCACAATGGACAGCACTACGGAATCTTCTTTTCTCTGCTTTGAAACCCTCTGGAATGAGAAGAATCCAGTTTTCAGCAGAAAGACGCGGGTAAGCTATAACGGAACACAAACATTCGTATATATTACCTTTTTAGCAAATCACAAGAAAAGTAAAACGTTTCTAAAAATGTAAAATGTGTAATTTTTCCAACTTTAAATTACCTGCCATAGTTCTAAGCACTCTGTCCTCATAAGCGCCTGATTTGGCTCTGATAAATTCTTATCTTTACTAAATGCAGCTATTTTGAGCAAATTTTTTATTTGTCTTTCACCTAGCCTGTAATTAAATACATATATATATTATGTATTTCTTAAAAGTAATATTAAAATAGCAAAAAAATTGAACTAGCTAAAAATTTACTGACATTTCTGTTGACAAGTAATAAAAATGTTTTATTAAAACATTTTAATTAAATAAATTTATAAATTTTTTTTTAAAAAAGACTATGGCTAGCCAAGTCTTTTCTACATAACGCTCAAAGTTGTCATAAAAATATAATTAATATTTTATAAATACAGACATGCAGTTGCTTTTGTATATGTAGTCAAAGAATGCCGTGTCTTCTTGCAGCACACTCAAAGGAACGAGCCCAGTTATGTCTTCCTCACGATCAAGTCCTCTCCATAGCATAGAGTTAACTGAATACAGATGGTGTTCGACAGACTCTGTACCGAGCTTCTTCCATTTACACACTAGATATCTCTCTGAATTAGCAGGCCTTGAAGTCACAGGTTTATGGATAGACACTGAAATAAATTAATAAATAAAACTGTATATAATCAACCTTTTTAAATATACAACAGATATAAAATTAAGAGCGCAAAAATCACCTTTCTCGAAACAACGATACATAATGTAGATAAGACTGACGCTAAAAAGCGTGAACACATCAAACAATTTCACAACAAAATGTCCTCCAGTACGCACGAGCATTAAAGCAGCAAGGCATTGGCACAGATAGAGCTGTTTGGAGAGAATCTCTTGTATGTTTTCCTGTCCCTCCACTGAAAATCCCTGTAAAAATAATGAATACGAAAATCATAACAGCATTACGTAATTGAAAAACAGTGTATTACTGTAAACATTGTGGGCTCCTTTTCTAGCCAGGATTCCACTTACTGCCTACAATTATTTTCTTATTTTAAGGAAAGCAGAGTCAGTATAATCATAGGCTGAAAGTCTATTCCATGTTAGTCCTCGGGAGTGACGATGCATCTGTAGACTTTGTTGTTTGAAATTAGTTGCAGGCGTCAATAGGCTAGTTAGCCACTCACCATCAGTGTTGCCAACTTGACGGTTAGCAACGGGAAAAAATTGTTTTTTAACGTTTAACGGATCTTTAACGGGACAACTAAAATTTATCATATGTATGCATGCACTTTAGTTTGTTGGTTATTCCCTTAGATTGAATTCTGAAAAATAATCCATGTGTGTCAAGGATCGATATCAAATCAATTCATTTTTAATATTTAGAGAGAAACTCGAAAATACCTACTTGACGGGTTTTGACGGGATTGTAGTGTTCTCTACAACGGGAGCTAGATTTTGAAGTTGGCAACACTGCTCACCATCAAAAGGCCTCCTAGTCTTTATTCTTAGTCTGTTTTACCATTTAATATTTCCTAAAATAAAATGGAGCCGTGGTAGCTCAGATGGTTAGCGCTTGCTGTAAATTTCACAGTATACGAGCAACCCGGGTTCGATCCCTGCCATCACCAATGGAATTGTTAATTGCAATGCGGACAGTACACTCCCTAACCCTCAACAGTGGGACGTAAATAGGCTGTAGCCTTTTTACTTTTAAAATATAATGAGGCTTTAAATAATATTAGAGTAATAAAAACTTAACACGCATTAATCATGACATCCGATGGCGGTAGTGAGAATACTAGGTCATAGTCATGAAATTATTGCACCGTCGGCAAAACTTGAGATTATTTACATGTGTGAAATGTTTGTAATGAGAATTCCTAATTCCTCTTTTAATGGAAATGAGGCATTCCATGTTAATCCTCAGGGGTGACAACGTACGTGTTTTGATTCTTAATCGAGGATAAAAGTAGATGTCTATGGGCCACAGCATCCACTTACCATCAGGTAGACTGTGTGCTCGTTTGTCACCCTTATTCTATTTAAAAAAAAAACTAGATCTTTCTTGAAATAAGTTCATTGTAATTGGTTCCTAATATGTCTGTAAAAATTTTAATTATTAAGAGGACCGCAACTGAGTAAAAACTGAATTGAAATATTCCATTACATACATACATACATACATACGTACATACATACATACAGATAAAGACAATAAAAGCGCGTTAAAAAAGAGTTCAGTAACTGTACAGGTTAAGCTGTAAATGGTGTTGACAATGTTTGACATTTGTCTATTTGTCTTCATCGGCTAATAGATTCATCACCCCATTACGAGTTTGGGTATTTTAGTGTTTAACTTTATTAAACCTTTCCCTCTCCCGTGAATCACATATGAACATTTCAATTATTTTACTATTATGTCCATTTCAATTATGATGATGATGATGTCTATTTCGCTGTCAAACTGTTAAGATATTACATTTTAAATCATAATATAACATGATTTGTCTAGCCTCTTTTATTTATTTAAAAAGCCATTTATTAAGTGAGCAGCAGAGTGCACAATAAATGTTATTATCATGGTTAAAGTATGAAGTTGCCGTTTTTAAGGTCCCTTTGACAAATAATAAAATTAAACCTGCATGGTCCAAGATTAATAATTAAAAATATTTTGACACAAAATCTATAACATTCTAAAATCATAGATTTGATGACATTGTATTGTTTGACTTTCAATTGTTTTAACTAGAATAGTAATACTAGATTAGTATTTGAGTTAAAAATGGAGTCCTCAAAAATTGGGAGTAATTTTCGAATACGATTTACGACGTAGTTCAAATGCAGCAGAGCCAGCTCGCATCAATGCTGCGTTCGACAGGATACGACTAACGAACGCAGTATTCGTTTTTTGGTTTAATCACTTTCGTAGTGAAAACCTGATAATCAACACTAACGATGAAATTAAAGTACCAAATGGTGGAAGTAAGTTATCAAACAATTGCCGCCATGATTTGACGTTAGTTTACCCACAATTTTGACTCATTCGTGAAATAAAACTCGAGAAATGGGTGCCGTAGGCATTCATAATCATAATCATTACAGCCCCTTCACAAGTCCACTGCTGAACATAGACCTCCCCCAAGGAATGCCACAAAGCACGGTCCTGAGCCTTACCAGGTCGTCACTCCATCTAGTGGGGGGGCTCGCCCTATACTTCGCCTACCGGTACGAGGCTGCCACTCGAGAACCTTTTTCCTCAATGGTTGTCTGTCGGTTCTTCGAGCTATATGGCCGGCCCATTGCCACTTCAGCTTACTAATCCGTTGGGCTATGTCGGTCACCTTTGTTCTACTGCGGATATCCTTATAGAAGTTTATCACGCAGAGAAACCCCGAGCATAGCTCTCTCCATAGCTCGCTGAGCGACTTTGAGCGTCCTCATACGGCCAGCAGTGAAGGACCACGTCTCGGTTCCATAGGTCATCACTGGCAACACGTACTTGTTGTACCACTTAGTTTTCAGGTTTTGAGGTATACCTGACGAGAAGATGTGTCGTAATTTCTCGAACGCTGCCCAGCCGAGTTGTATCCTTCTCGGTCGAAGTTGGACTTACCTAGTCTGTATTCGCTGAACGTCATACAGGTTTACGCACCAACCTCGGCACATCCCGATGAGGAGCTGGAGGATATGTATGAGGATATTTCTAAAGCCATGCATTCTCCGAAACCCACTATATGGTGTTGACGGTAGACTTCAATGCAAAACTAGGCACAAGAGAAAGCGGTGAGTTGAAGTTAGGAAAATTTGGAATAGGAATAGGGAACGGAACCCAAGGGGCCAGCAGCTAGCCTACTTCATGAAGAAAGAGGGATTCTTTATGATGAACTTTTTTTTTTCTAGATGCGGCCCAACAGGAAGTGGACCTGGTCTAGCTCCGCCCCGACGGTTCGACAAAAAATGAGACTGACTTCATTATGACGACCAGACGCCAACTATTCAGTGATGTCTCAGTGATCGCGAGGGTGAAAACTGGCAGCGATCACCGAATGATTATAGGCACACTGAACTTAAACGTGAAGTTGGAGAGGTCTCGTCTAGTGAAGTCAACGTTCGGTCCTCCTAGTGCGCTAATTCAGGGTCCCGAAAACTTTCAGCTCGAATTACAAAACCATTTTCAGTGCCTAGAAGACTGCAATACAGTGAACGATATGAATGACAAGCTCGTGGAAACTGTCCGCTGACCCGCCGCAGAAGAACACAAAAACTCTCCGATCACACTCTTAATCTCATGGATGTTAGACGGGCGGTGAAGCTGCAGTCATCAGCAGATTTGACAGCATACAGGCAACTGAACAGACAGATCTCCAAATGCATGCGGCAGGACTTATACAATACAGCTCGTATTGAAGACTTACTTCAATACAGCTCGTATTGAAGAAGCGATTGAGCGGAACCAGGGCTCCAAAGTCTTTGCCAGAGATCTGCCTGCCAGTAAGAGCCAACTGTCAAAGCTGAAGACTGAGTGTGGCAGTATCGTTTTCGGGACACCTGAGATTCTGAGTGAGATTGAGAGGTTCTATGGGCAGCTGTACACATCATCGTTGGAGCCACACGCAAGTGTGAGTAACGATCCAAGAGCGAGTCTTATCCGACACTATTCCGATGATATCCCGGACGTCAGTCTGAGCAAGATTAGAATGGCTCTCCAGCACCTTAAAACGGCAAGTCCCCGGTCGAGGATGGAATTACAGCGGAGCTTCTGAAAGTGGGTGGAAAACCAGTACTTGAAATCCTTTAGAAGCTCCTTAATTCCGTCCTCCATGGAGGCACTACTGAGATGTAAGGAATAGATATAAGCATATTACATATAAACATATACACAATATAACCTAATTGTAACTATTTAAGGATTGATTATTGCAAATATATTCAGTATCTACTCAGCAGTCTTGGCTTTCATTTCTCTCTCGTGCCACAACCTTACATGGCGACCCTGCCAGGCGGTGCGCGGCGACAAACACGCGCACCGCCGCGGCCTGCATAAATACTTAAAGAAAAATGGAAAAATTAATATAAAACTAAAGGAACAATTTTCAACTATTGAATTGACACTACCGGATGTGACAAGTAAGCCGAAACGGAGACATAAGAAAAGGCGACAAGGTTATTATTTCTTTAAGGAGATATGCTAATAAAATCTATTGGAAAAGGAAGAAAAATGTTACGGAAAGAACGAGAAAGATCAACTTCAGAAACAAATATTATGAGAGCTTCAAATATTACATGAAGATTAAACGAATCAGATGGTGAGACCACAAATTTAAGAAAAATAGAAGAAACTTAAGTCCTGCAAGCCTTAGCCGATAAGAAGAAAGAAAAATTGAGCCGAAAAGAACAAATTATGAGGTAACCTATTTTAATTCTATTTCAAACTTTATTTAACAATTTGAGATTGGTTTTTTTGCTATTATGTTTTTAAAGTTAAATATTAAATATTCTGTATTTTACATATAATTAAGTTGAAATTATATATCAGATTATTCACAATATACTTCATTATCAAACATTTTAATACCTACAATAAAAAAAACAATTATAATATTAAAAATTAAGTTGAATTTTAAGCACTTATGTGGCACTTCTATTGCGCCTTGCAAGACCACTTTATATTCCTTTTATGCAGTTATAGTTTTGTATTATTTTTTTACTGTGTCCTGCCAAACAATTAATGAAATAATAAAATAATAGATTCCAATTTTACGCACTTGATTTAAAATAACACTATGATACATTTCGTTGATTTTTTTTCTCGAATCCAAATTTTAAAGGGTTAGAAATATTTCACTATCATTATAAGTATTAATTTTTTAAGGCATTAAATGTTAAATTTATTTAATAACTTATGTAAAATATAAAAAACTTTCTTTTAAATGTTTAAATAAATTAATGTATCGTTGTGTAAAGTTGATAACTCTTATAATGTGATTGTGTATTTATTATCGTAAAGTTTATAATGTAATCGTTTTTTTTCTATAAAAAAAGGGAACGAAAACCTAAAATTGTGTCACCTGCTTGAAATAAAATTGTCTTTTCCAATGTTAATAAATATTATGTAAAAAAAAAACTTTAGCTGTGTACCTAACAGTGTATTCTCTTTTTATATAAATTTCTGTCCCAATTAAGATAAACATATTTCTTAGAAGTCATGAAATAATGAGTGTTCGAAATTATAAATAACTTAAATAATGAATGTTTATTAACGTATCTATGTAAAAGTAATATTTATTATTAACAATGTAACTATTTCTAAATATCTGTTCCAAGTTTTAAGGTACATTTTATTTGCATTCATACTATAACATATTGTACAAGTTATCTTAAAATTAGGCGTGAATCACACCGTGTCATCATAGTCCGATGTAATTGCAAACATTGCCTTATACGTACTCAGAAATTTAAAACAAAGGTGTCACAAACAGCTTACGCGGCTGCGATTGCAAGTTGTATTTTGATTCCCGTTATTATGATAGCGATGATACCTACGCTGCATTACATTATGTTTTTGCTCTTTTCATATTTAAATGAAATGTAATATTATCGGTGTTATATTCATTAAACCTTCAAATCACATGCTTTTAACTTTTATAAGCCATTATTATCCGAAAATATAATGGAATATTCATGTCTAACCTATTTGTGTGGATCATGAAAGCAATAGTTAAACAAATATAAAGGTATAAATAAATTAAATATAAAGTATATACAATTATAAATACAAATGTGAATAAATATATATATAAAGGTAGAGCAGGTACTGCTTAATATGAAATGTAATAGTTTATTTTCAGTTTTATATTGTTTGAACTTTTAAATCATAACTTCTAACTAAAACATATCATATATATATATATTAAAAGCGAAACTATAGTTTATGTAATAAATCTCGAGTGAAAATAAATGTAAAAAAATATTAATATATATATGGTATGATAGGTGATATGTTCATGTTAACGTGCAGTTGTGACGTTGATTAATATCAAAAATACGACAGGCTTAATGTCGTACGAAATAAAAATGTTAACGAAATAAAATCGCATGCGTATCACGGATTGACTTAGTAATATAATTATGTATAACCATGGTATAATCTGATCATGATCATGAGATTATAATTTTTTAAATGAAGTTAGTTTCATATTTTATTTAAATACTTTATATTATCCCAATTACAATTATATACATTTAAAGTCTATATAACATTATATTTTATTTTATTCTTCAATATTAAAAGATTAAAAACCAATATTAAAATTATTCAATATTAAATTAATTATTACGTTATAAGATTCAAGAAAACTAAAATAAAAGTAAATAGATAACTTTCCTTTTTTTTAAGTATCGGGGGAGGTGTTTATTATGATATTATGATATGAGATCATTAAAGATAATAAGAATTATACAATATGGTAGAACATTATAATCTATTTATCTATAAAAATGCTTATAAAATATAATTTAATAATTATGATTGACTCATTGTATTAACATACCTTATTATATAAGCGAAAATAAAATAAATTGTTAGTATATTCATTTTATTTTTTTATTGCGGTGGAGATGAGATGTAAGGAATAGATATAAGCATATTACATATAAACATATACACAATGTAACCTAATTGTAACTATTTAAGGATTGATTATTGCAAATATATTCAGTATCTACTCAGCAGTCTTGGCTTTCATTTCTCTCTCGTGCCACAACATTACACTACTCCCGAAGCGTGGAGCAGAAGTGCGTTGGTCTTGTTGTTTAAGAAAGGTGACAACGCCCTCTTGAAGAACTACAGACCGATATCCCTTCTGAGCCGCGTCTACGTGCTGTTTTCGTGAGTCATTACGAACCGTCTTCCACGCAGACTCGACGACTTCCAGCCTCCCGAACAAGCCGGTTTCCGAAAAGGCTTTAGTACCATAGACCACAAATTCGGCAAATTGTACAGAAGTCTGAAGAGTACAATTTGCCACTTTGCCTGGCGTATGTGAACTATGAGAAAGCCTTTGATTCCGTCGAAATTTGGGCGGTGCTACAGTCTATTCAGCGGTGCCAAGTTAACTGTCGGTATATCGAAGTGCTGAAGTGTTTGTACAGTAGGGCTACGATAGCTATCCGAGTACAGAACCAGAGTTCGATACCTATCCAACTGCAGAGAGGTGTAAGACAGGGTGACGTTATTTCCCCGAAACTCTTCACCGCTGCATTGGAAGACGTTTTCAAGCTACTGGATTGGAAAGGATACGATATTAACATCAATGGCGAGTACATCACTCACCTTCGATTTGCCGACGATATAGTCCTTATGGCAGAATTGCTGGAGGACTTAAGCACTATGCTCAATAACCTCAATAGTGCCTCCCAATGGATAGGTCTTAAGATGAACATGGACAAAACAAAGATCATGCTTAATGTCCATGTCACACCTATGCCCGTAGTTGTTGGGAGCACTAAGCTCGAAGTTGTTGAGGAGTATGTTTACCTGGGACAAATAGTCCGTATGCATTAATGAGCATTTGGACCAAGTCGACTTGGTGGAGTTGGAGTTCTATTGCAAAGGTATTAATAATCTGCCGTCGAGATGGCAGAAATATATAGACAATGAAGGTAAATATATATACTTCAATTAAATAAATATATTTTTGTAGAGTAAAAAGTGTTTCAATATAAAACAGCAAATTCATGCTTTAACCCGTAGTATTTGTTCCATCCTATAAAACCTATAAAAGTTCAATGTGAAGATAGTATACAGCCAAAAGAAGCCTAAAGTAAAATGAACATAGTCCATTACAGCCTATAAAAGTTCAATGTTGAACATAGTCCATTACAGCCTATAAAAGTTCAATGTTGAACATAGTCCATTACAGCCTATAAAAGTTCAATGTTGAACATAGTCCATTACAGCCTATAACAGTTCAATGTTGAACATAGGCCCCCCTCATAGATTGCCTCATGAGGGGATTTTGCCATAGTTGCTACACTGGGCAAGCGGGTTAGCAACCGCAGATTTTTTATTATTTTGAGTTATCATCAGGAACATGCTGCTACCCATCTGCCCATATCCCTTTTCATTCTTTCTATGTGGCCTCTTACGACACCCTCAGAACAATATTGGTTAGTGGTATTCTTAAACCGCCACTACACGGTGTGGCCAATTAATTATATATAGTATTTAATAAACAATTAATTGGTTTAGTGCCAATATAGTTAAAACTATTTTGTACATCGATTTTACTTACACCATCAGCCATCAGAAAATGTACACCTTGATCATCCGTTTGTTTTAGTACAAAATCTTTTAGTGACGTAAGATTTGCTGGGTCAAAAATGTTGCCATCCTCTTTTACGCCATAATACGGATTGAACGTCTCGGGTGTTGCCGCATAAAAGTCCGATAATTTAAAATCATTAGGCCCTTTTAATGTGAATCCGAATCCTGAAATGACACTTATGTTTAAAAGTCCTTACTTATGATATAATTTCATATATATATATATTTCATTTACAACACTACAAACACAAGCTAGTAACACCAATTACTGGATTCAACAATTTAATTATTTCATATCGATTACTTAATTTACGCAAATAAAATTGAAATATTTTTAAGAGTGTTCCGTTTAAAACTCGGAAACAACTTATCTTTATGTAAGGAAAAACCCTGATTAAAAAATGAAATATACAGAAATTGAAACTTTCAATGCAATTGTTGGGATTTTTTTGCCTTTTAGAGTGGACTAAGAAGTACAACTAGAATGTCGTCTTAATGCAATTATACAATACACAATTACAAAGAACATCTTTGTTTTGCCAATAATTTATATGAAAACAAATTGTTTTTACAGTAATTTACATTGTTGAATCAATATATATATATATATATATATATGATATATATATAAACATATTTCGCTCATACCTCTACATATTGCTAGATCAGCCCTACTATAAAACTATAGTGCTATAGCATATAAAACTAGGTAAATACAAAGAACAAACAATAGTGTAAGCGAGATTGAATTACATAACATTAATAACAAAATTATGCTAAGTAAATAACTGTAATATTGTTATGTTGAATATAGTATATATATATATATATATATATATATATATATATATATATATATATATCCTTTTTACTCTTTTTTATTCTTTTTTCGTCAGAATCCTTCACGGGCGCTCGAATACGTAATATAATGCTTAGAATAGGAACAAACAAATGAACATCTTTTTATTTGTAGTTGCATTTTCATCCAATCAAAACTAAAACAAAATCTACTGATATTTTGATTCTGTTCATATATTAAGTAAAAAATATCTAAGTGTATAAAAAATTCTGTGAAAAATTAACAACTTAATAACATTGATGACTAACAAGAACTTGGTTATAACATTACCTTTAGCTCTCCAGCCTTTTCGATATAAAACATACTCAGAGAAACCGCCAGGACCAGCACAAACGTCGGCAAAGTATAACATATCTTTCGTGTCTACGGCAGGTTCACCACTTGGCTTCATAGGTTTTGTGAACATAAAATCGAATACTGCGTCTATGTTAGCCATTTTAACAGCTGCGCGGTTCAAAAAAATAACAGCGCCAATCGTTTCATATGGATTACTACGAAATCGTGCATTTCTCATGTCTTCGTCATCCAAAGTGTCGAAAATCGACTATAAAAGATAAACAACTTATAAGGGATTAAAGTAAATTAAAAAAAGGAACAGATTGCCTAACATAAGCTCTTAATTGGTCTGTAATTATTTGGTGTTTAATAAATATTTTTCAAGTTTTAAGTCAGATCTACACTGGAATAATCAAATATATTACAAATTGAACAGGAGGCTTGAATTTGGTGCAATAGCTTAATTAACCGTGCGCTATTGAGCTGAGTTTAAATGTTTCGACAACATACAAAACTCACATTAGTCACCCAGTTAGATTTCTTAAGAGACTTGGAGCAAGTGTCTGAGCAATTAAAAAAGAAAAATTTCGAGGGCATGTGAAGTCCCCCAACATGCATTGGTGCAGCGCGGCGGACATCACCTTGCCCAGAAACAATCCCATAAAAAGGGAGGCCTATGCCCAACAGTGGGACTGATGTAGGCTGTTACTTTAATGTTTTACAGCATTTTGGGCCTAACTGTTACATGTAAGGTGATAGAGAGCAGCAAAAATAGATCGATTCCGTTACCACAAACAAAATTATTAAATTCATAAGTTGAGTATGGTGGTCCATTATCTGTAACTATCCTAGTATTCTTAGATACGAGGGAGGTAGAGGAGAGGGAGTGAGGAGAGGATGGAGGAATGGGAGGCGGGGGTGGGGTGACCGTTCCCCACCAATTTAGTTATTTTTATGCATTTATTCTTGCATAACGGAATTTGTCTCCTCGATAGGCCGAGCTAAAGAGAGGGACAAAAGAGTGACACCACCCACCAAGCCCCTCTAACGCAGTGATAGGTCAGTCTTAAAATAGTGTTGCGCGCTATAATTAGCGCCTGGTATGTGGCAGCTGATCATGAGCGCCATCTGGTATCATGCAGCAGAAATAAGAGCGTCAAGATCTTTCTAGAACTCTTCCACTAGCGCCATCTAGTATCGAATGGAAGAACTAAGCTTTCTAGAAAGCTCCACACTCGAACTTTCTGCACCTGGTAGGTCGGGGGGCCGGTATTTGCTGGAATATTCTGGATGTTTCGGTGGAAAAGGCCTATATAAAGCCATTTAGGGCCGCAACCGGGGCAGTATTTGATTGGCGATATGAGCGAAGCTTTCGGAGTGAAATAAAGTGTTAAGTGTGAATAATTATTAGTCTGATTTAAGTTTTAATTGGTGGTCAGTAATTAAAGTGTCAATTTTGGTAATTCAATCGGCAGTTTTTATTGCCACGAACCGTAAGATCGTAACAAAAGAAATGTCTTAAAATTCTTCTTCCACACTTTTAAACAGGCACTGCCGCAGCTCACTTGCGATTTGGGATCACCAGTAAAGCTAGCACTCGCTTCGTTCAAAATACTTCCCTTATTCTACTAGCTTCCTAGACAAATTAAGAGGGTAAGACAGTACTTTCAAATTCAAAATTATATTTTAAGCGTTTTCATCTAATTACTTATAATATAAATATGAAATAAATTCGATACTTCTGTAAACTATTAGCTTGGCTATTGGTTTTGTAAAAAAAACTTGGTGTCGTCGCTGAAAATTCAGAGTAATTGAATTTACGCAGTTATTAATTCGTCATTTTGTAAAATATTTTAAAATAAACCAGACTTTTTTCCTACAGAGACAGAGTTTTTTCCTACCTAGAATATTTTTTATAGTTCATAAATATACTTTTATACCCCCACACGTAAGCGTTTGAAAATACTTCTTTTGGTTGATTTTGGACTTGTAACCTAGCCTACCTTAAATGGTGCAACCGAAATCGGACCAACAAAATATAAATGTAATCTATACCACGGGTGATTGGGCCACGTTCACATTCGGTGTCAGTGCGTCTGCCACGGAGGTAGACGCCGTATCTGCGTTAGCTGTGCACATCGCGCATTACCGGTCCCGCACATACGTTCCACACATTACACGTAGCTACAGACTAGCTTTGGACTTTAATATACTCAAGTGATCATAAGTAACACTTTTAACAGACTTCAAAAAAGGAGAGGTACTCAATTGGGCTATGTGTTTTTTTTTTATAGTTACCTCAGAACTTTTTTCTAAGTGAACCCATTTTGATGATTCTTTTGATTTTTTTGAAAGCTGATGATTCTTATGTTATGTCCTATATAAATTTGATCAAGATCTGACCAGTAGTTTTTGAGTTATCCTTAATAACGCGTATTTAATTGACTTCCAATACATTGATGATGTTCTCATTTTATTTATATTGAAGTCGGTTGTACAAAGTATTTAATTTTACCACTTGCCCCTTACAAACATCGGGGATAACCAGCCTGTCCCCCCCCTGACTTCAAAATTTCATTGATTAGGGTGAAAAATAATCTCTCCCCGACTTACAGCCAAGTATGTAACTAATTATTTTCAAGAGAATCTGATCGCTAGTGGTTTGATTCTTAATGTCAATATAATCATACAGAAAAAGTAGTTGAACGAAATTTAGTAAGTTTGCTCGGGCTTAGTATAAATCATCTGTTTATGCTTTCGACAAAACAATATTTGAATAATATTTTGCCACACTAAGCCTAACGATTTAACCTTCAATCCTTACGAGAGGATGGCTATCTACGAGCAAAACAGGATTATCAGTGTTTGTTTTTTCTGCACACATTCTCAACGAACAATCGGCCTTGCATTAGGAGTATTGCATTAGGGCTCGATGAAGATGTTGTACAGCATTACGTCCGGCTCGGCATAAACGTGATCGCGTAGTGTATACAGCAACGACTTCTCTCGGCGGTACACTAATGTGGACCCTTTGCGTGCCATGCATGCCTATTGCATTTTCCTTCCCGGCCATGTTCCACACCAACAGCACGCATTCCGACGTCACGCGTCCCCGCTTCGGGCGGACGTCCTGGAATGCTGTCGTCCTGTATTGGATGGCAGTGACTTCTACTTCGCATTAAAGTTCACGCAATGGCGACATCGAAATAGTTACAGCTTCGCCGCTCTTTCACTTTTACACACAAAAAATTAGTGTTCAATTTGTACATAGACTTTTTTCTTTTACTACTTTATACTCGTAATAATATTGTGTAGTGTAAAAAATATATACCTTTTTGTGTTTAAAAAGTTCGAGTGTCCAAAAACTTAGGCAATCATCATATTAAAAGTAAATTTGAGATTAAACATAATTCAGCATAAAAGTACCTAACATTAATTAATATAATGTTTTGATATGGTACCTTTGATTTAAGAACTCCTTGCAAAATATGTTGATCAACAAAATTAGTTTCATCATCAATTGTCAATTTTTTTGAACCTCTTTGAAGCCATTCATCTAATACATCGCCAGAAAGGGTCTCTGATGGAGGTGTTGGCATCCAAAGCTAAAATTAAAAACGATTCTAAATACATTGAACATTATTAAAATTATAAACTATATACTGACGTATGTAACTTACTACTTCTTCAGAGGCCTCGGGAGGAGAACTATCGGGAGTCCATTTAAAATCTTTTGGTGCCTCTCCTACAGTAGATGCTTGGAAACCTAAACCTCTTTTTCCTTTTTGCGTTGAGGCTTCCACAGGTTCCACGCGTCCATGTTCAAATTTACCCAAACCTTTACCTGGTTTAAATCCCATGTTGCTCATCATACGTTTAGATTTTTCTGAATATTGACCACTAACTGTTTCGTCAATTTTGCTAGATTGGTCGGTGTTTTTGCTATAGAAATTATTATCATTCATGGTACTAAAGCTAGGCCTCATTGACACGTCATCGTTGTCTGCGTCATTATCTTCATGTCTATATTCCTCATACTGTTCATTAGGCGATGAACAATTCTCACTTAAGCTACTCCGGCTGAGCCTCAAATTGCCCTCGGGGCTATGTTCAGAATAATTTAAGGTGGTTTTTGTCGGATTATCATTTTCAGTCAGCTGACTGTGGTCACAAGAATCGGGTGTTTCTTCATCCTCAGAATCTGGCAAAACTATAAAGTATATTTTTAATCTAAAATTCGTCTTTTAATAACAGTTTATTACAACAAACCAATAAAACACTTCATTATTTTCTGAACATGAAAACAAGCCAAAAAAATAGGAAAAAAAAAGAAAAAAAAATTTTTTTAATAAGAATTAAAAAAAAAAAAAAAAAAAACACAAAAAGAGGAGGGGCAAGCAAAAAAATTTTTTTATTTAAAATTTATTTATATAACAATAAAATTTTAATAAAATACACCCCAACCCCCCCCCCCAACCCCCCCCCACCCCCCCACCCCCCCCCCCCCCCCCCCCCCCCCCCCCCCCCCCCCCCCCCCCCCCCCCCCCCCCCCCCCCCCCAGCTAAATTGGCCTCTAAAAAGCTTGGCGTGCTCAGCAGAGCGGGACAGTATTTTATTTACAAGGCGGAAGTTGGGCCTCACATGGAATACTGTTCTCATCTCTAGGCTGGGACACTCCAGTGCCAACTCCTTCCACTTAACTGCATGCATCAGAGAGCGGCTCGAATCTTAGACAACCAAGTTCTTTCTGATCGGCTCGATTCACTAGCGCTGTGAAGAGATATTGTATCCCTTTGCATTCTCTATCGCATTTGCTACAAGGGGGTGCTCTGAGGAATTGTTCAGATTAATTCCAGCCACCAAATTTCACCAATGCACATTGAGACAAACCTCACGTCACAGCGGGCAGTCTCAACGGAGACTAGCCATGTGCACAGGACAGGAATATAGTGTACGAGTGTATGCACATGCACAGGTGCACAAGCTTGGAATCAAAACATACACTCTCAACTCCAACGTTAATGCTTCTATCAGCTGGAAAACTGGTGACCTAATTGCATAATTTCTCAGGAAGCGTATGAGAGTAAAGCTAAAAATAAGTGCTTTGAGCCAAACCCGATCAATGGCCTTTCGCTATGTATTATGCTATGTTATTCTTTCTTTAGAAGTATGTGAGTCTTGTACATCTTACATATACATTCAATTGGATGGATATATATGCTCATTTTCCAAATTATGCTCAAGGGATAGACTTAAATGAACAATTAAGTTTAAGCTTACCTGATCCATGTGATGTAGTTGATGATGCTCCATAGGTATCAGTTCTTGCTCGTTTTGCAGGCACAGAACTGACGTCACTGCTGGAATCATCATCTGATGTTTGATCTGTGGAGAAATTATGTTTTGATTGCTGTCATTATATCTTAAAAAATTGTGCAATACACTTTAGTAACTTTTCATGACGTCTACCATTTGGAACAGCAATACTTTTTAAAGTTATTTTCTTATATTAACAAATAGATAGATAACAGTAAATCCTAAGCGAGAACTCCATGCCCAGCAGTGTACTGAAGATGTTAATGATAATAAGTGTGTTACATATTCTTCCAAAAACTGTTGACAAATATTTATTCCCTGTGCAGTAGTTTTTCTAAAATAATAGTTTTCAATTTAATCCTGTCCATATGATGAAACTACGACTTCAAAAGCCATAAATTTACTAAATAAAAAGTAGGTGTTTACACAATGAAAATTATTCTTTCCAAGATATTTTATAATATATACTATGGGTAAATTATAGAGGTCCGGTACTCGCGTAGGTTGTTGGGTGGGGGAGGGGTGGGGTCATGGGAAGCCCCCTTCCCTACCCCCGTTGCGGAAATGTATAGTTTGAGTAATCATTTTTTTTTTTGGAAAATTATAATGTCACTTTTTGATACAGGCATATTAACACAAAGTTACTTCTGAAACGGCTTCGGCACTGCGGGAAGTGCAGCCTCTTTGCCCTTGCGTAGCAAATCACAGACACCCATGCTCGCCTCTGCAGCTTCGGCTTATTGGCCGCCTTCGGCGACCAGCTTCAGCTGCTATGGCTCACTTAGGTGCCTGCAATTTGCTACAGCGGGCGGAGACTACAGGAATCGGTGTTCTTTTGCGACAATTTGTGGTTTATCAAATCTAATGTAATGGTGGGGATGATCTTGAACATGTTCGCAGACTGGCCCCTGTTCCTTCACCTAGATCTTCTTATATATATAGATCTAAGCAGCAGGTTATCCTTGGGATTCCTACCAAGGATGATACGCGAGGCTATTGAAATTAAAAAACATCCAAATTTCAATAGAGAAGATGGATGGGTGCTGCCAGCTGCTTGGGATCCTATAATTTACAAAATTAAACCCAAACCCAAGCATACCACTGCAAGACTTCATGATACTATAAGCTCATTTTGCGTAAATCGGACCAAAAATTAATATTAAAAAACTGAATGTATCCGGACTAACTATGACATTGGGACGTCAAACACCTCAGTCCCCCCGGTGACCACGGGTGCTGTAAAGCACCCGAAACATCGGGATAATAAAAATAAATTAAAGTTGAATTAAACATGATAAAATCCATAAATAATAGTTTTTATTCAACATAAGAAATTTCATCTCAATTTTTAATATGAGTTATGACATGGAAACAAAGTATCTCAAATCGCATGCAATAGTAATGACAAATACGAATTCAACACTATTAAGCAACAAACAGTGCGATACTGGTTCAATCACCCTTGGTTGGGGAAATTTCAACCTTACAAATATTTCTCGCAACCACTCAGTGAAGAAGGTTGATAATGACAGCCTGAAAGTGGTAATGAAAGCTGATCTCTTATAGGCTATGGCTGAGCTGGCCTACGCTTTTAATGCAAGTTTCAAAAAATTAAGATCATTTGCATCAAATCTATAAAATAAAGAAGCTTGATGATGGGTACCTCACAAACAGCACACAGCACAGTAAGTCACTTGCATCAGTCATATTGCTGAATTGGCATAAAAAGAGAAAATTTTGGATTGAATTTTTACCTGCAATCGCGAAAGCGCTACAGGTAACCGAGCCAAACAGTGCCCAAAACAAAGATTAGCCATAAAAATCTTATGGTGACAGTTTTGTTATCTACTGTTGATGTTGTTGTGTACTGTTGGTGTCAGTGTAGTCAGTCTTCTTTGAAGCTGTCACTCAATCAACCCAGACTGGTGAACTATCTTTACCTTTAAATATACTTTTTATTTCAATACTACACAAGACGGCAATTTCGTAGATAAAGACGAATTATTTATTGTAATTTTAATTTATTAAAAAATGCTAACCTGAATTCATGTTTTACAATTCCTTGGCCGGTATAGTGTGAAGATGTTTGCTTTAAATTAGCGTAGGAATTATTGTTAATAATATAAATAATAGGTATGTACCTACATAAAATTTTAATCTTTTTTTCAAAACGTTCATAAATCACTAAATTTAAGTACCTTTGATTAAATTCTTTCCAATACATATATCAAACAAAATATTCTCTAGCAGATAGTCAGTAATCTATGCAGTAATCTATGCAAAATAAGAAGCACTAAAACGTGCCTGTTAATCTTGATCTCTACCCCTCTCTAAAATATCAATGAAATCAAGTTTCAGTTTAGGCATGTCGATCTAAAAACGATTAATCGAAAAATCGATTCTTTGGAGTAAAATAATCGAAAATTTTTGAGATCGATTCGGAGGACCGCATCGATTCACTGAATCGATCCAAAAACCTCTCGAATCGGACTGATTCATCTGATTCAAGAACTAGCGATAAAATTCCCAAACTGGTTGAGGTAAGATACCGCAGTTTTTTTAATTTTTTGCTGTTGGGAGACGCAAAAACAACCGGTCGTACTTGGTTGATAATTTGAACACAATATATATTTGAATAAAATAAATAGTTATTAACGCATCCAACAATATCGAAAAGTTGTCATTTCGTTTTCAGTACCAAAATTCTAATTCTAATCTTACCTATGGAATGTTGGTCTAACTTAATCTGTGCTGTGAACAAAGACTATATTTTATACATACATTATAGCTGTGAACCTGTTTGAACTGTGAAATTGTGAATTTACTTTATTTATTATCAAAAACATACTGTGAGCTGTAAGTAGTGACAGAGTACTTTTTAAATACCCAGGTACTGTAAATTAATATTATATGTTGAAGTTTATAGAGATTTATAGTAAGGAAATAACCAGTATTGTGTTCGTGTTGCATTCATTTCAATTTGATAAATAGTGAGTTATTATATTGAAACAGATTTATCGAGAAACGTGTTCTTTTTAGCCTAAAATGTCAAATAAAAGTGATACACGGAATCACTTTGCAAAAAAAAGGATCCGAGTGGCGTATGTGCGAACTACTCCTTACACAAGTGTTTCAAGCTTACCATGAGTGGTTAAAAGGAATATTAGTAATGTTAATTAATAAGATTACTAATATTTAAAAAAATATATTAAAGTTCAATTAAAGAAAAAAATCGCAAATACTTGAAATTTCATGTTTAAAAATGTCGCGATTAATCGAAAATCGATCTTTTAATCTTCGATTTAATCGAGAATCGATTCTAGTATCATCGATATTAAAATCGATTCAGAGAACGATTTTTTAAGAGTGAATCGACATGCCTATTTCAGTTTATACAAAGCAGGCATGAGACCGATATATCAAAACGTAACTAATAACGTTATGTTATTAAATATCATATCATATCGATAAACTTAAGTACAAAACCGTTATCACATATCTAACCAAAACCATACACCTAACCAACGTATGAAAACGAAACCGAAATGCATAATGCAAACATAATGAAAACGGCCGATGACCTTCGTTGATATTCATCGCTTCTCGTTCTTGCAAGTTAGTTTAAATAAGTATAGAAAGAGATGAAGCGAATATGGATATCGTTGCCATGTTTTGGTAGTTATCACACAACGGTGCACATTGCGAAATATAATATATAGCTAAAGCAATAAGGTCGAATTTTAAATAAAGTAAAACGTAAAACGCAAACAGCGGAACGATATGCCAACATGACCCACGAACTAAACCGATGCGATGTTCTTCTTTGATATTCATTGTTTCTTGTTCTTAAGACGGTATCATAAGTTCGTATAGAAAGAGAGGATTTCTGTTTTGGTAATTTTAGTTTCACACGGTACGCAATGCACATATGGATATAATTAACTAAAGCATTCAGACAATTATGTTTAAAGTGAAAATATAATATAGCATAGTATAGTTTAAGTTGATTTAGACTTTTAATCATTTTTGAATATAGACTTTCAAAATGTCGCGTAAGGCTAATGAAATATGGTCTCACTTCGATAAAAAAGAAAATTCCGACCACTTTTTCCACCGGAGCCGAATCAGCGGTTAGTGCAAATCAGGTAAACCTTCGGTTAATAGAGTTTAATTTTGAAATTGAATTGAGAATTCGAATTTAAAACTTTTCTGCTAGTTCTAAGCCTATGTGTTCAGCGGTGTATTTTAATAAGCTGTAACAGTGACGGTATAATTTATTACTGAATAACATTAAATATACAAAAATTATATATTAACATACATGTTTAAATATTACATGTAAGATAACAATAACATTAGAACTTCTGACATCTAATATAGAATAATCTATGTAATGGTACGACTTTCCATTGACGTCCATCGAATCGAAGGTTGGAGGGGGGTGGGGTGAGGGCGGACGGAAGTGTACTACTCCTCCTTAAAAGGAAAAGTTGCGGTGCCCCCCCCCCCTTTTCGAGTTTTTTCATTTTTTATTGTGAGGAAATTTTCCTCATTTTATGGATAAATATTAAGTGTAAAAAGCCCCCTAAGGAAGGGGGAACCCCCTTCACCAAATAAATAGAGGAACTCAATCAGAGGGATTTCTGTATCTAATTTCTCTTCCTGCAACGTCTCCGGCGCTGCAGGAAGAGCAACCTCTACGCCTTTACGTAACAAATCGCAAGCATCCAGCCTCGCCTCCGTAGCTTCGGCTTGTTGGTCGCCTTCGGCGACTAGCCTCAGCCGCTCCGGCACGTCCGATGCCTACGATTTGTTAAAGCAGGCGGAGGCTGCTCTCCCTACGTGCTTCCGGCTCTATAAAAACACTCTAGGGGTAGGACAGACTCGTACCACGTGGAGTCGGGGTCGATTAATTCGGTTCCTTGACATAAGTTGAACCTGACCTATTTTATTTGTTATCTGCCCTAATAGGTGTGTACTGTTTTATACACATTTTTATACACATGATTTATACAATTTTATACACATAATGCTTTAATTATTTCTTAGAAATCATCAGTTTTACGTTACGTCCCACAAGCCGGCAAAAGACGGTAAACACTACACATTTTAATTTTAATAGCTCTTAATGATAATAATTCTGTAATTTAAATTCAAACTGTTAAATATATTGTGTGTATGCATGAAAAGTATTCATATGAGTACAAAATATAATTATTTACGTAAATTTATGTAAAATAAAATGTTACCGAACGTATGACAACTTAACCGTACGTAAAACGAACGTTCAATTCAATGGTGAGAATTCGATATAATCTGAGGTAGGGATTGACATAAATATTGCAAAAATAATTGATTTTCAATAATTTTTTTTTCTCAAAAAGAACGCGTTTACGCATGTTGCGTGTGTGCTTATATTAATGTAACCTTTCTGTAAAAAAAATATCAATCCCAAACTCGACAAACGTCAATGGAAAGCTTAGCCGCAAACCATTAGTATTGATATCGATATCTGAAAACGGTTTTCAATAACGATATGAAAACTAGGTATCGGTTATGTAACCGTTGCAGATAAAAACTGATAACGCCCATGCTTAATTACAAAGGCACTCTGTGGTTTCAATCATCAAAATAAAAACACAGATTAGCTTGGTACTCGTAGACAGAGAAACCTATAGACTAATGATCGGCGTGGCCTCGAGTGAGAAAGGACGATAACGAATTTTTAGGTTATACAAGCAAAGTCATAAACAGATCTCCTCGCATGATCGGTTAAACGTGCACCGAGCCATTCGGCATGGTGGGCGTTAAAATCGCCAAAGATCACGATCTCTGCGGATGGAATCTACTGTAGCACGGAATCTGTAGTCATTTGGAAGTGGTCAAGGAGTCGGTCTATTTCAGTATTACCTTTATGGGACCTATAGAGGCACCCGTAGACGCGGGGATAGTCGTCGCTTTCTACGCGCAGCCATAACATGGACATTAATTACAATAAGATGGACAGGTCCGTACCTTCTAGACTGCCGAGGTGTCGAAAACAGATGTCCTCTCTGACATATACGCAAACTCCAGCCCGTGGCACAAAGGAATGTTCTAATTTCTACCCAAGGTAGGTGAGATATAAAGTATCAGCCGAAGAGGACACCTGAGTCTCGGTTAAAAAGAGCAAGGCTGTCTTTGCTGTCTACATATGGTAGTGGACAGCGTTAAGGTTGGAATGAATTCCCCTTATATTACAAAACTTCACGGATATCGTGGCAGGGGTCGCCTTGGTGTTGTTGCTCCACTTTCCCAGAGCAGTTTTTGACGCGAGCAGAATTGCATCCTCTCCCTCCAAATACATGGGGGAGGCTGAGCACCCACGCTCATGAAGAGTAGAATAACTTGGACGTGGATGCTCAGCGCGGGATTCTCCGTCACCAGGGGTGCTGGTACCTTGCTGGGGTAGATCTTCTCATAATTCCACTAACATTTGTTAAGGGAGCGGGGAGGGGGGGAATTGGGCCTCCGGCTACATCCACTCACCAAGCGAAACACAGAGGTAACTCTCTGCTTTACGCTGATATTCTGTGAGGTCGTGGTACCACCCCGGTTTGAGCCGGCCCATCCGTGCGACAGCATAAGCTGCCGCGTGGCTCTATCACTGTTATATCAACAAAAGGACAACGTGACTTTCCACTGTGAATACTTTTAACATAATTCTTTCGTTCAACTCGCATTTTCTGAATATTTTTGTATAATACTGTTTTAAAATTACTTACTTATGACTTTAAAATTACTTCATGAACTATGTGTATATTACTATATGCCAGCATAGTTCATGAAGTAAAAAATAAGTGATTTTAAAATAAATATAATTTACTACACATAATAAATATACTAACGAAAATGTATTTCATATCTACTAAATTAGTTTGTGGTCAATAATAATAATTAAGATGTGTATTGGATTTTGTCAAATGATGTAAATATTCAGCTCAATCGCAACATGATTCAGAACATATTATAATTTAATAAAATCGATAACTAGTCGTTATCAAAATATTATACTAAATAAAGGCCGAATAAGTCGAATCGAAACCTGCTACTTCATAGCAAATGTACGCAATTTTTGTAAAATTAAACTGGTATCATTGTGACCGAAAGTACTGCAATATAGTGATGTATGCCACAACTTGTAGCTATCGATAAGTTAATTAACACATTCGGTTTTTATTTTTTGCTTAGTTTTT